TATCAACCCTTTACAAGGTATTCAAGGCCAGAAAATATTTTTTTCTATAATAACGTTTTAATGGTAGAAATCCTACTAATTAAGCCATAGAGGGGGGAGAATATATTTATTCATACCTTTCCCGATGGTATTTGCGCATAAGTCTATATAACGAACTCTCCATTTAACAATTCCATTATCCATTACACCAAGTTTACAGCACCTGATATTCCCAAACGGTCACTCATCTAGGTACTGACCAGGTTCGACGTTGCTTAACTTCGGTGATCGGATGAGAACCGGTGTTTCAATACGATGTTGCCATAAGTCAACAATGCATTTTGGAAAGACAGAAATCATTTGCATTGTCATGTACCCAATAATGGTTGACCAATGAGGGAGAACTTGAGAAATCACTCTCCCATTAATACCTAACTTTTCCAGGCAGTAGTAACAAACGTTTTTACCCACATAGACAACCTAATCGTGTGAATTTAAGGAAGAATAAAAACAGATATAAACACACATTATTATTTTTTTAGAAAAAAGAAACTAAATTTCGCAAAATCTGATGTCATAGATTTACTGTGTTCAGCTTCGTCTAATAGAGGTCAGCAGTAATTCATGAATATTAAACTCACTAGATTAGCAAACGATCTTGCAAATTTAGTTTGCTGATTACTGATTATCATGTACAAATCTGTATTACAGTTTCTTTATTGTTACCACCGACAATTTTCACTAATATAAGGAAAAAAGCACTTTCAATAGCATCCCAATACAACGTGTGGTCCAACCTATCTTATTTACCAAACAATCCCGTTCTTTAAGTTTAGCTTAGTCTAGTATAGAGCAAATCAAATTAAGCACTCCATGAATATTGAACACTCACTACTAACGATGAGTTTGCAAGGTGAATTTGTCGATCACTGATCTGTCAGGCACGAATATCTATTGATTTTTTATTGTTATCATAAACACTGACAATTTTCACAAGTGGAGGAAGAAAAGTAATTTCAGTAGCATCCGAATAAAACTTACAATATTTGTGATGAAAAATGATAAACACTTAAGATGGCACATCAAAGACAAGAACACCAAAGGTAAATAACGAGTAACCTCCTTAAATCGTTTTAAAAAACTCTGGAGGAAAAATACCACCAATAAAAGATGAGTTAAGTGCTAGTATGAACAAGAAATGACAAGAAACTGGGGTGGGCCATTGATAGCACATAGAACCTCGAAAGAGAGAGAGAGAGAAAGTCGGTGTAGATATTTCAGGGAGAATGCAGCTAGTTGAAACATTTCTTTGATGCGACAAATTTGATGAAAAATGTCGGACACTTTTATTTTCCAAACGAGGCTATCAGTGGTGCCATCAAGTTGTAGAAACACAAAATAAGAGGGTTTCAAACTATCACATGTACCAATCAGTCGCATTCTATACTACAAGTTAAGTCTAGTACAGAGCAAATCCAATTGAGCACGCCATTGATTTCGAACTAAATACTAACGAATAGTGTGCAAGGTGAGGATGATAATCATTTTTCTACCTGGCAGATACGAATCTCCATCGCAGTTGCTTTTGTTATTACTATGAACAAAAACAGGTTTCATAAGATTGATGAAGAAAGTCTTTGTACATTTGTTTAAACAGCATCCTATTAAATGTTTTTGAATGACTAAGTATTTACAAAGATTTAGATTTCATGATATTAATTTATAATTTTTCCTTCTCCAGGGAAAAGAATGAATATCAATTAAAAGCTCAGAACACCTTGAACTCCTCAGCATAAAGAATTTACGAAAAGATGTTGGCATCCAAATATTACGCTTTTGGATATTTAACCATGAAAAGTATTAAAAGAATATATTCGGAAAAATAATGTAGAAAATGAAAAAAAGTTAATGGTGAAATAATTATTATGCCCAAATATTCAACATGTTTGCCATTGTCTGTTAGCGTGCAGAAAACTCTATTGGCTCAGATTAATAATTTCAACATGGCTTCAGTAGAATAAAGAGAAAAACATCTCGTTTGTTCTTCGATTGATTTAGTAATTCAAAATGGATGAATCTGGATTGATGTTTTCTTTTTGCTTGCTGTTCCATATAACTTCCAAAGTTTACTTTGAGTTATTACTTGATAATCATCAAATTCAAACCTTGGGAAATATTCAACTCTGTATTAATCGGCAGAAATTATCTAAAATAACAAAAAGAAAATGAACGATTTTTACTTTATTCACAAATAAGATAAAAAGTAAAACTACAAAACATTCCGATAATATTTAAATGTTTTTTTTTTCTGCTGGTACATTGTTTAAAGGTTTTCAATTTAGTTTCGTATTAAAATAAAACCTTATTTTATGATAGTAACAATGACCAGTTTGGATAAACTGCTACTGCACAATCTTCATATCTATAGAACGCGCACGCAAATGTACACTGAAAAGTTGAAACAAAATCACTTGAAAGCAAAACTATTCATGAAAATAAATGATTTGAACTTTTGATTAGTAAAAAAAGCATACATATTATTCAGGTTCGATTTAAATATTATTAAATTTATTTATGATGTTTGAGGGCAGAAATAACGGATCGATATATCTTGTGAGGTATTTGGGTAAATATATGAAAATGTTTTAGTTACAAAGCTACTGAAGAACATGTTCAACATTCTTCAAGTTATCATTTCTTCACTATTCATACGAGGATACTCAAAACTGTCTAATATTTCACTCTTTAATTTGAAATTGGCGAAATATTTCTGTCTGAAACCTTACCCATCTAATATCACATTACACTGAAATTGGGAAATATTACTTTCAGCCATTTTCTGAGCGATTTCTCTGAAAGAACTAAATATATTTCTTTATTCTGCTTATAATTCTCTTTTCTTCGTCTCATGACAAATTCTTTCGCAATATAATCAGACATTACGGCTTTCAAGAGTTCTAATAGTATTTCATGTTTAAATTTTATTTGATTCTCTTAGTTTCATCAAAGAAGAAATTAAGTCATCAATGCAGAGGTTTTATTTGTACATTCAAATACCAATTGACATATAGTTACTCGTTTAGGTTTTTATATTATTATTACCGAGGTACAAATGCAAAAAAAATATTTTATTTTATTTTTATTAATAACACTGTAATAATGAGTTAACAAAAAGGTGCTTGAATAAACCATAAGTAAATCCACTGTGCAGACAAATGCAATCTCAGCTTAAACTGAATGCTAAGAAAATTGCTTACATTGTAAAAGTGTTTTATTAATTTTTGGTTTCTACTTTGTATTTGATCTCCAGTTACTTTTTCCGGTTCACGTTGTTTAAGTCGAGATAAAATACAACAACAAAATAAAGGAAAAGCTAGTCAAAATTAAAGATGAAATTATAATGGAAATTTATTCATATGATAATTAAGAAAACTTAAGACTGCTATTTCTCCTATTCCTGCTGGATAGTAAACAAAAACATAGCGTAAATATTGCTATATGAATTTGGGTTCTATGTATCGAAAGAACCCAAATTCATATAGCAAAAGTTACGATTTCAGAAGACATTATGCGACGTGAAGCATGAATTTTAAATGAAAAATGTTTAACCAGTCACAACATTTGGATGTTCCATGAAAATGTACGACAGTAAAAATTATGTTTGAAAAAACCGAATACATCGGTTGAGAAAAAAATTTGGTTCCACCTTTTTCTCTAGATTTTGTTCTATCTGAATATTGCATTTTCAGAGGTTCATCTTGTCTGACATATTCCTAAAACACATAAAAAGGTGGGAACTCTTTTCTCTCGATTCCTTTCGTATTATAAAACTTGCGAATAGACGAAAAGAGTTTACTATGTGCAAGTTCGAGCTGGTCACCATTATTCTATGCTGTCATAAAAAGGTTCCTGTGTCTTGTGTCAAAGCAACAAAGGCCCAAGTTAAAAAACTTATTTTTTCTAGTGTCATGTTATTTCTAGACGTAGCTTTTCATTGCTATCTACGGCATCCTTTTCTTTATTATTTGTCATTTACTGTAATGTTCTTAGGAAAAATAATGGAGCGTTTTCTGCTGTCGCATTATGGAATTCAAAGTTGTCCTTTTCCTATACTGACTGCCATCCAATTCTAGAGAGTCCAATCTACACTGTTATTTAACACGTAGCAATTTAAATTCTACATATACGTGTCGATTTTTTTGTCGTATCATATAAATAGACACATGAAAAAAATTGGTACGCTATTTCGTCGTATAATGTGATGTTTGTAAGGAAGTTCTTAATTTCACAGGAAGTAAATTGAATAATTGTTCTTTGATGTTCTGATGCATTATGAAGAATAATTCTGTAAAGACTTTTACTTCTATTTATTTACAATTAGTTGTTGAGCTTAACTTGGCACGGGGCCCAACACTAAGTTTTAAACAAGCGGCTATGAAGATTGTAGTGTATTTATCTTCTCTATGGTGAAAGTCTGTTTGCGTCAAAATCAAGAACTTGGTTGTACAATCTCTAACACCAACCTCTGATATCGGTTGGAATTTCTCAATTATCTCAATCAAAGTAAATGTCATAAAATTATTTATCAAGCTTCATTTAGTCCAAGTGTAAGAATTGGGTACACTATAAATATAACAGTTTACGAGATTAGCTTGCTCAAGGTCACTCTCTCGTGGATAGATTTATTTTCTTCATCTATCTGTTCAAACCCAGTTATTTCCTTTGCAACTACCTTGGTCAGTTCACAGAAAAACAATTAACCACAGAAAATAATGTACAATAAATTCTTTCACTGCTCTTAGGATTTTAGTGAAAATATATTTAAAATGAACGCTTGCTGTTTATGAAGAACATGTTTATACTTATCCTGCAAATCTATCTTCGGCTTGAAAATAATTCTTTCAATTATTTGTCGAAAACTGCGTTTAAATATAATTATAAAAGTATAACCAACTTTATTTTTTATTAATTGTGAAAATTATAGTCATTAATTTTTATTTTAACCAAATTGTCATAAATTATTTCATAGATTTGTTACGACTGCTACAAAACTTTGTTCGAGTATGTTATCTAGGTTACCATAACTCAGACTAACAGAAAATGGACGATCGGTAAAACCCAACAATAGACATGAGGCAAATATTGAAAGGGATTTATTAAGGTTTTCGTCTCAGTCAATATACAGATATGATCAAAGAGTTCGTCTCGAAATTCTATCGTATCCGAAAATAGAATACTGCTACCATATCTTGGCTGGTGTTGCCTAGTTTTCATTTTATAGTTTTGATAGATGTCGTGACCTTATAGGTAATGAA